GATTGCGGCTAAAACATAGAATCTAGACTTGATAATGGTTTCAGATCTCTTTAGAAATATCTAAGGATATTTTAATCGAATATAATATATCCAAAGATAAGGCTTTGGGAGAAAAGGTTCAAAATTTCCATTTTGCTATCTATGTAGGCCAGTCGCGCATTGTGGTCCTTTGACTATGCTGCACGTGATGCAATCAAAAAGAGATCACGATAGCTCTACTGCTTGTCCAATTCCTATAGGGTTCATTTCATTTTTTTGTAGTGAATTATAAAAGTTGTTTTTATTTTGGTAATGAACTTGCCAAGAAATAAATAGCAAACTGAACTGTTTTAAAAGTCTTCGTTCCCTCACAAAATTATCTGGGTTAACTGCAAAAATTTCCCTATAATTATGACTCCTGTAAAATTTTGACCCATATTCTTCGAAATGTAACATTCGTTCCACTCGAAATAAGAAATGGTAACAAGAAAGCTTTTTATGTTAGGGTTTCTAACAGAATTAACGCATATCACGCAAATATTGATTGTTGTTACAGAGTATGGCGCATAATTATACTTTTCTACCCACCAATCTAAAATTCACATTAAAATATACATTCTAATGTTCATTTAATATGGTAATAAATAAATAAAAAGCAGTAAAACAAAATTTTTAATCTTACTCTTCTTATTTATTAATTAATTGAAAATCTTCATAAGAATATACATTTTAGATAAAACAATTAGAAACATAAAAAAACAAAAATGAGAGTTTTGAAAAATAAACAAGAGAAAATTGTTGAACTTACCTTTACAGTGTATGAGTCTGGATTTTTAGCATTTCCTCTTAATTAATATCATTTTGACTAATATAGTTATTTGACTAAAAATGATATTTCTCATGAGTAATGGGTGAAAATTCAGACTAATACACTATAAGGGGTATATGTCTCTTTTTCCTAAAAAAAAATTAATAAATAAAACAAACCCACGTTTCTCATAAAAACTAGTTGAGTTCTGCTTGTTATACACGTGGTGAGCAATTTTGTAAGTTGTGTATGCGTATTAAGTTTTGATTATTGTATTATTATTTTTTAAAATTTATTTAATAATAGACATTTTAGTTGGTTGTTAATGCATGCCATTTATAGGAAAAGAAAGAAAATAAATAGTAATTCAAAATTACTTCAAGAGAAACAAATTAGTGAAGCTGAAATAATAGCGTGAAAAGTCTTTTTAAAGATGACACATTAGAGAAAAAAATTGTTAATTGGGCTAATTAGGAAAAAAAATATAAATAATTACTTTTGTTATAATAAGGATCATATGAAAAGAAAAATAGTAGGAACAGATTTGGAAAAAATAATAATAATTCAATAGGAGCAAGTGAGAAAAAAAAGGATATAGAAAAATATGAAAAATTAAATTATAGAATAACCTTTAGCAAAAAGAGAAGAAGAAGGGACATGTAAGTTATTTTAATAGAAGCAGATTGTGAAAGAAAGGTATTCTAAGGAAATACATCCTAAAAATATTAAATTGTTGAAAAATCTTTGGCCAAGGGAGAAAAAAACTGAGAGCAAAATAAAATTAGACATTTAAAGAAAAGAAAAGAAAAATGAAAAACAAAAATAAAACACACTAAACAACAAAAACAATGACAGCGAAAAAAAAAAGCAGAAGATTGTAAAAAAAACTATTCCAGTACGGATATATTTGTGAAAAATTATCATAACAGGAACAAAATAAAAGAAAAATAATTATAAAGACTACATTTTGATAAAACAATATTTGAGAAGGTTAAAAAAATCATTTAAGCGCAGATCATGTATTTGACAAAATATATTACAAATATATATAAATTAAAAGGAAAGTATTTTAATATGTAATAGTTTGGAGCATAAAATTTTTAATGGAAAAAGGTAAAGAAGAATATAAGGAAAAAAAAAAAGTTTGAAGCACTACAAGACAAAATAACTTGACGACAAAATAGAATTAGTGCCAAAAGAGAAACTCTCTCTTATATAATGGTAATAGATAATATATAATCGATAATAGATAATAGAAATTGAAATATATATAAATTAAAAGAAAACGTATTTTAATATATTATATTTTAGAGTATAAATTTGTTCATGGGAAAAGGTAAGAAAGAAGATAAGGAAAAAAAAAAAAAAAAAAAAAAAAAAAAAAAAAAAAAAAAAAAGAAGATACGAAAAAAAAATTGAAGCACTACAAGAAACAATAACTTGACCAAAAAATGGAATAGTGCCAAGAGGCGAACTCTCTTTTTTATAATAGTAATAGATAGATAATAGATAAAATGCCATCGACACTCTACACCATGTAAAATATGGGTTCTAGTTTCTACTTTCACACATAGGGCCAGAAATGCCATCCACATTCTATACCATGTAAAATATGGGTTCTAGTTTCTACTTTCACACATAGGGCCAGAAATGCCATCCACATTCTATACCATGTAAAATATGGGTTCTAGTTTCTACTTTCACGTAGTGCCAGTTTGATAGTGCTGCATATTTTAAAAAAATTAATGTTAATTGTGCTAAAAAAAATAACTGTTATAAAAAACAGTTGAATATTTAATAAACTGTAATTATATAAGTATTAATTTTAGAGGTATTATGGGTATTATAAAAATTTCATTACTTATTATGGGTTCTAGTTTCTACTTTCACGTAGTGCCAGTTTGATAGTGCTGCATATTTTAAAAAAATTAATGTTAATTGTGCTAAAAAAAAATAACTGTTATAAAAAACAGTTGAATATTTAGTAAACTGTAATTATATAAGTATTAATTTTAGAGGTATTATGGGTATTATAAAAATTTTATTACTTATACTATAAGGTGATTGTTGCACAATCTAAAAGATGTAGTGGTCTTTGGGTTGCTTTTGATTTTGACTGTAAATTCTTCAAAAATTCTTTAAGAATAACTTTATATGATTATTACTAAACACAAATTTCATCTCTAGATGGCTAGAGAAATAATTTTAGACTCCAAGAATTACTACTGAACATACCCATGTACAACTTGACTTTTAAAATACCTCTTTAAAATAGACTTTACTACTCTATACAATAGAAAGCATGAAAGCGCTCACTATTCTCACAGTTTTGACCAAACGGTATCGCTTTTGTCGAAATTCTCCTTTTTATTTTATTTTATTTTATTTTTTTTGAACTGAAACTTATTTATTGTTTTTACTTTGGTCTCTTTTTTTTCTTTTTTTTTTTGTTTTCTCCGAAAACTTTATTTCTTTACATTTTGGTTTCTTTTGTCATAAACTTACTTATTTTTTCATTTTGATCCATTTTTGAGCCCCCTGTGTTTTGCTTCTTGCCCTAACAATTTATTTTTTATTTCATTTTGGTTCCTTTTTAGGATTTTATATGCTTTTAAATGTGTTTCATTTTTAAAACTTGATTTTGGTAAACTTCATTGCGACATACATTTCTCTTCCTATACATCTTATTCAATTGCAACTATTTTTTTTTTTTTTTGATAGGTGTATTCTCTCTAGTTTGTTTCTGTTGGGTGAATTTAAAAGGCACTTTTTCCATTACTTTGTTCCTATTAACACAATTTCATTCATATGTGCTCGCGCTTAATTTTTTATTATAGTCTTTTTATTTATGTTTTGCCAAAAGATTCTCTACAATGTCATCTCTTTTTAATGCATTTCTTTTAAATAGCTTTTCCTGAGTGTTCTCATTTAAATATATTTTTCCACACTATTTAATTCTTTTACTGTATAATCCTAGATATTTTAATGATGACACTTATAAAAATACTTATATTAGTTGTGTATTAATTAACTAACTAAGATTTTATTATTAAATAAATTAAAAAATAATAACAGAGTAGTCAAAACTTAACACACGAGTTACTCTTCAGGTGCATAACACGTGTTGTATCAACTAGTAATATTAAAAGGCACTTGTGTGAAACGGAAAAAAAAGAGGATAATTAAAACAAATTTAAGATTAATAACAAATTTGTGTCTCTAAGCATAGAGATATTTTCACCCCTCCCCATACCTAACTTATCTTAAGTTGAAAATCAATTTTTTAACCGTTTTAATCATGTGCAGCTTAATGAGTCTTATCGCATGTGAATCACCTAATGTGCAATGATCCTACTTGCGTGGCCGTTACTTAACTATATAATCTTAGACTTAACTTAAAATATTAAGGTTTGTGGAATAATTTTTTTTTAAAAACCTTTTTAAAACTAATCATTAAAACTTCCTCATTTGGAATTTCATATATTTGTTGCATGAGTTGCTGCAACATTTTAAAACTTAAAATTATTTTTTAGACAAAGTAAAATCTAAACTTGACTTTTCTACACATTATCTCAATAATTACATAGTCATTGACAGTGTCTATTCCCGAGCTTGGATAGCAGTTTTCTACCGCAAATGCTACTCTCATAACTCTAATTCAACTAATTGGTAATTAAATATTTTTTTAAGTGTTAGAGTGTCTCTCAATACAGTACTAATATCATATTGAACTCCAAAATTCTTATAATTAAAATTCTCAAGTCATTTACGGATTGAAATTTCTACCATCATAAATTGCAGTGAGAATTTTCAACCCAATCGTTTAATCACGAAAACATAAATCTAACTTAAAAGTTATCATTGAATTTTGAAATGTTAATGTTAATTCCATAATTTCTTTAGTCATAAAATTTCAAACACTGGTATTTCCCATGATGACTTAAATATGTAAACTGTATTATTTAATTCTAAGATTTTCTTGGTTTTTTCATAATGAACACATGCTAATAAAAAAGTATTATTGGCCTAGTGTGCAACATGTCTAGTAAATTAGAAAAGAATAAAATTAATTTATAAGTGCATGTTCTTTTCTAAACTTGAGTTGAGAATTTGAGTTTAAAAGTAAATTTTATGTTAAATTTTATGTTGAATTTTATGTAAGAAAAAACCATATAGCGAAAACGTTAAATTTGAATTTTTATGAGAAAAAAAACTATAGCAAAAAAATTGAATTCTGATTCGAATTGAAATAAGAACATGCCCTAAGTCATTGGACACTTAATTCTTGAACAAAGTATCAGGAAAAAACCCAAATATGATTACCTTAAAAAAGAAAAAAAAAATAACAATTGTGTTTGTGAAAACACTAAAACCGATATGTATCATCACAAGAGCACTTGAAGATATCATGGTTCAACTAAAAAAGAAGACACAACAAAGAAACACGAAAGACATATATGTCTCACACAACCATAAACCTTCTAACTTAGACTCTTGGAGTCTTGGTCACAATTTTCACCAAAGCATTGAAATCCTTGCTAGAGTTACCACCACCTTCAACAGCCTCATGAGCAAGCTTTTTTAGTACCCCAATTCTCTCCCTCATTTCCTTCCCTTCATTATCCAAGAAGACCCTTCTCAAATCCTTCACCATTCCCTCTTTGGTAATCAACCCTCCTTCAACCTCAACCCCTATCCCCCACACAGCCTCAACCATCCTCATATTCAGCCTCTGGTCCCCCCAAAACGGCCGGCATATCAGTGGCACGCCCCCGGCAACGCTCTCCAACACCGAGTTCCAACCGCAGTGTGTCACGAAAGCTCCGACGGAGGAATGTTTTAGTACTTCCACTTGGGGAGCCCACGGAACCACCTTGCCAAATTTTAGACGAGAGTTGCATAGTTTTTCTTCTAGAAATCCCTCCAGTTTTCCCCTGAACGACCAGAGAAAAGGGATCTTGGCTTCCTCAAGCGCCTCGGCCAGGGCTGCAATCTCGTGAGGCAGTGGAGTGGCCACGCTTCCGAAGCTTACGTAAGCGACCGACATTGTTTCGTGCTCGGATAGCCAATCTAAGCAGCCGTTCTCATCCAGGACTGGCATTGGTTTTGGAGATAATTTCATGGTTAGGGTAAAGGGTCCAATGTTGAGGAACTTTCGGAGTTTGGTTTTGAGTTGATTCGAGATTTCGGGGTCCATTTTGTGGAAGGAGTTTATGAGGACAGCAGTTGCTTTGGGAAGATTCTGTCCCATTTTGTGAAACATGTTTGCAAAGAGTGACGATTCTGAGTCTTGTGATGTGATTAGTACTTCTTCGTGTAAATCTGATATGCGAATGGCTTTAAATCCGGGAAGGAAGTCTAGGGTTTTGTCCTTGCATATTCTTCCTGCGGAGATAAGCATGGTAATATTGTTAGTAAGGAAGCAGCAGATTTTTCTAAAGAAACTGATAAAAATTCTGAGGTACCTAGGGATACATTGTGACAGTACATACTTCTGTAGATTTTATCAAAAGGAAATGAATGTTTCAATCAAAAAATGCATTTGGTAATTAAGTGTGTGAGCGCATGCGCATGCACGTGTGGAAAATGTCCGAAAGAAATTATTTTAAATTAGATAAATAGTATTTATTAGACAAATATTAATCTACCGAGTAGGAAAAAAATATGTAAGTAGGGAGATATTTTAGAACTATTATTTTATTGCAGCTAATAGGAAAAATATATATATTTATGAGGACTACTGTTCAGAAAATAGTAATTTAAATCATCGTAGGAAATTATGGAACAATAAAAGATACATTGCCTATTCTTATTTAAATGAGAACATAAGTGATAAAAAAATTATGCGGTATAGTCAAACAAAAGAAACATTACAAAATAAAAACAAAAAGGGCCTAACCAATGTAGAAAAACTACTTAATGATACGTAGAAAGGGGTATAAGTAAGAAAACATTATTTGAACAGAGACAAATAAACGACGGGAAAAAGATTTAATAGAGTAAATATTAAATAGATAAAAAATATTAGGGGGGAAGCAACAACAAAAAAAATGAAGTAGAAAAGTGAGGAGGAAAAAAAAGGAAGTTTGAAAACATATAAATAGAAAAGATGGAAGGCCGAAAATTAAACTGGAGCAAAAAGTGAGAAGAAGGCCAAAAGAGTAAAAGAATAACAAATGGAGATTCGTTGAAAGACAGATTGTTTATATGTATAAATACAAAAATAAATGTTAAAATTATTTATTGGGTGCATATAAAAAAAGTATTTGAGATGAATTTATAAGGACACATTTAAATAGGGACATATATAAGAAGAAATTATTTTAACAAGACAATTAGTCAATTAGGGAAATAAATTATTTATAGGAATTACATGTTAAAAAATGGAAAAATAAAAAAGAATGTATAATAGAGAGAAGAAAATAAAAATGAAAAGAAGGTGGGGAGGCAAAAAAAAAAATACACAAAAGAGAAAAAGTTGGCGAAACGTTTCGTCTTTCATTGAACATGGAAGAATGAACTGACCTCATGTACAAACCGTGTATCTTCACATGATAAGTTATTATTTGACAATATACTAGCTTTTATCGCGCGCGATTCATTTAAAATAACAATTATGTAAACTATTTAAAAAAAGAAAAAGAAAGAAAAAGTTGACATAAAAGGAATGAACACAAAAGGGAGGAAAAATCTGAAACAAAAGACTAAGGAAAAAGATTTTAATTTATTTTGTCACATTTTAAATTAGTTATATTTTGTTTTCTTTAATTTGTGTTTGTTTAACTTAGTATGCATTTATTTGAATTGTTTATAATATTTTAATTTGAGCCGACACGTGGCAATATAATTGCGTGAGCGAATTAGAATCTATCTGGTGGATTTCTTTGAAGAAGGTGACCAGTTAGCGCTCGACACGTGACCATTTCAAAGAAATTTAGCACACTGGATCCCCTCCTCCACAGGAAAGAAAAGGGAAAAAAAAGTTAATGTAACGTTTCATTAGCAATAAAAAAACCATTCACTCTTAGTAATGTAGTATAGATATAGATAGAGCGCAATTGATTCATCTAAAATGACAGCCATATAAATTGTTAAAAAGAAAAAAAGAGAAAGAAGCAAAAAAAAAAAAAAAAAGACATAAGAGCACGCCTAGTTCATTTAAAATGACATTATACAAATTACTTAAAAAAAAAAAAAAGAGAAAGAGGAAAAAAATACATAATAGAAATGAAGACAAATGCGAAAAAAAAAAAATCTAAAGTAAAAGACAGAAAAAATGCCTTAACTTATTTTGTTGGGTTTTAAATTAGTTCTATTTTATTTTATTTAATTTGTTTTTAATTTAATTTAGTGTGATTTAATCTTATTTTAGTGCATTTTGTTTTATCTTATAATATTTTATTTTAGAAATTTGGTGCAAAACCGGACCACAAATCAGTTCAAAATTAACTAATAAACGTAATAAATAATAATAATAATAATAAATAAACCCGGGATTTTTTCTAAGCCGTTCGACAGAATCACCAACGGTCATGATTTGCGCATGCAGTGCACGTGCAGACGAAAGAGCGTTTGCCAGCAGGCGACCAAGCGGGCGACCAAGCCGCTTGCGTCGGGTCGGCCCCGCCACTTTCTCTTGGAAGCAATTGGGAGAACAACACGTGGCACTATGTTGGGTTCCTCACCACGCACGATCCACTGTAATCTACTCCTGTGAGCCCGTTTTCTTACTCAACTGTATTAAGACACGTGCCAAGATCTTTCGGCGAACTAATCATAAACCGCTACATGGATTCCACTTAAAAGACTCCCCAAAAAGATCGCGACTCGTGACGGTTTTAAGTAAGCTTAACAGACTGAATTATTTTCTTAACGATAAAAAAAAGTCACCCTCCCAAGAAACGGACTCCCCGGTAAAGATATATCTTTGTAGAACAAATAGTAGTACTAATATTTTCTATATTTTTTGAACTTTTTCTAGACTATACTTAATTATAAAAATGGTAAATCAGAATTTATTTAATCAACTTTAGATTCGATTTATGATAAGCCTTAGTAATCAAAATCATTTAAGAAAAAATATAAAATTTATTTTTAAAAGTGTATAAGTCTAGACTTTTATCCCTTATTATTAATAAATACTATTTTAGTATAATCATTTAAGAAAAAATATAAAATTTACTTTTAAAAGTGTATAAATCTAAACTTTTATCTCTTATTATTAATAAATACTATTTTAGTATAATTATTTAACTAAAAATGTTATCAAGATTACTCCGGGTAGCGTATTTTTTTAGACCTTATGGTATATTTTTCTTTACCGTTTTCTTATTTTAAGTTGCTTATTACGTATTTCTGTTTTGAATTCCTTTCTTTGTAAGAATAATTCGAAGAAGAGCACTAGAAAGTCCGATCCAATATATAAATATAGAGAGAAAAAAAAAAGTGCCCTCAATTTTAAGTAAATTCTACATTTGTCCCTATATATTTAATAATTCAAAAAGTATCCCATATTTTTAGACTATCCAAAAATTATATCCCAAGTTTTTCAAAAGTAAAGTATAATCACTTAAATAGTCAAATTATGACATGAATACCTTAATGATCACATTTAAACATCCTCTCAAATATTAATAACTAGAAACTAAATTTAGAGAAAAAGGTAAAATTTCAATAAAATAATTTTTTTTTTCAAAAAAAAAATCCAAAACTTAAAAAGTTAGCCTGGCCTAGCTCCAGAAAGATCTCGCACCCCTCGCTTTTAACACGTGACTGGATTTGTTTTGTCAAACCAATTACGTTCTACGCTAAATGCCGCTCCCTTCTCTTTTTTTATTTAGTTTTAAAATTTATGCTTTAAAAAATTTCACATAATTAATGGTAAACTGATATCTAAATAGTAATTATTGAGTTTTCTTTTTGGAATTTCAAAAATATTGACCAATTAAATTTTTTTTATTTACTTTGTTTTAAATATAGGGGATAATTTTGGGATATCAAAAAGCCTAAAGGATACGTTTTCGGTAAAAACAAAAAAAAAAAATCAGCGTAAATGTAGGATTTCACTAAAATTGAGGGGTTACTTTTTGGATGTTTTTGGAATTTCAAAAATATTGACCAATTAAAGGTTTTTTTATTTACATTGTTTTAAATATAGGGGATAATTTTGGGATATCAAAAAGCCTAAAGGATACGTTTTGGGTAAAAAAAAAAAAAAAGGAAGAAAAATCAGCGTAAATGAAGGATTTAACAAAAATTGAGGGGTTACTTTTTGGATGTTTTTGGTATTGCAAAAATGCTGACCAATTAAAGGTTTTTTTATTTACTTTGTTTTAAATATAGGGGATAATTTTAGGATATCAAAAAGCCTAAAGGACACGTTTTGGGTAAAAAAAAAAAAATCAGCGTAAATGTAGGATTTAACTAAAATTGAGGGATTACTTTTTGAATGGAATACAAGCATTTAAGTAACCTTTGTTTGGGATATAAATGTCTTTTATGCTCTTTTAATTAATTTGCTCTAGAATTAAGTTTAAACATAAATTATTTTTAAATATGTTGAAAACATTTAAAAACTATAAACATATATAAATCTAGAAAAATAAACAATTTCGATATATTCAAACAAAAAATTTATATTTAAGCTTAACTCTATAGTAAATTATTTAAAAGGATATAAAATACATTTTTATATCTCAGAAAATAGTCTTAAGGTATCAAAAAGATATTTTTCTAAATATTAAAGTACCCTTTTAATATTATCAAAATGATAGAATACCTTTGAGATGTTTCTATATAATACAAATTATCAAAATGATTTTATCCTTTTTGAATTTTCTCATGAAAATTATAATTCCAAGCATGTACTTAAAAAATTACTTCCAATTTGATCCTGTCACATTCGAGATTAGAGGAAACTTTAAAATGGATTCTACTCGCAGTCCCCTCTCCACACTCCGCACCCCTTTTAAATAATTTCCATATTATAAAAGGCCTCAAATAAAGTGACAAAAAAGAAAGAAAATTAAGATACACTTAATTGCGTAATTATATTTAATATAAAAAGAAACTAATTCTAGTTTTTTTTTCTTTTTAAAATAAACTTGTATATATTGTTTTTTTTTTTCATTCTTTGTTTTGCTTACTGTTTTTTACTTTTATTTTTTTAACGTTTTGCATTGTTTTTATGTCTTTTTCTGTTTTATCTTTTTCTTTTCCTCATACCTCAATTGATATCGTAAATTGTTAATACCGTTGCCATATTATTTTTCATATTCTATTAATTATTTGCTTTTATTTATGTTTTGATTTGCTCTGCTATCTATTTTCTTTTTTTGAATTGTTTGTTTTGAATTTTACTTTGTTATTTTCTTGTGAAAATAGAGTTCATGCCTAAAGGTTCAACCAAAAAAAAAATAATATAGAAAGATATAGAAGTGCTGACAATATCAAAGTAAGAAATTAAAATGCTAGAAAAATAAAGTGGTCAAAAGTAATTAGTTATCTTATGGAATTAGTTACGGTAATATATGTGTGTCTAGATGTGATTTTATAGTTACTTCAATATTTATTTATCAATATGTATTATTATTGTAGCCATAAGATATTAATCTGACAATTGTAATAAATTAAATAGTTGACAAAAAAAGTGAATTAATGAAATTAGATTTTTATCACGTCACGTCATCAAAATTCTATATTTGAAAGTGATTACCGATGAAAACGTAACCATTAAAAAATCGTTCATATATATAGTGTGATTTTAATAGTTACTCTAATATTTACACAATGATGGGTATTATTTTTCTAACTGTATGAGGTTGATCTAATGATTATAATAAATTAGATAGTTAATCCTAAAAATTTATGACAATCGATGAGATTAGATTATTATCACGTCACATCATCAAAGCGTGTATGTATGTGTATATATATATATATATAGATATATATATATTATAGAAAAGAAGTACGTGAATATAGTAGATACCTTGATCATTTCCCAAATGCCGTCGAATCTTCTCGCTCTCCAGCTGAACCAGCAGCGATCTGGGCCCTGCCATCCAGAGCGGCAGCCACGGCACACTTCTCTCACTGGCGATTTCTCCTGTGAACCAGAGGAAGGCGTCGGAGACCAAACACCCGATCTTTAACCCCCTATCTTCCTCTGCCTCTTCAAGAGCCTTCTTGAAATTCCCCGGCGTCGCCCTCATGAACATCTCCACCGGCTCCATTATGTCGCCCGACAGCTTTCGGCCTTCCGGCCAGCCATCGTTGACATCATACGGCCGCACATTTCCGAATCCCTCTTTACTCGAAAATAGGGCTTCGTTCGACTGCGAAGTGCTCAAGAATGAGAACTTAACGTCGCTAGCGACATTGATGGCGACACCTGCGGAGAGCCTACGGACGAGGTTGAGGAGAGGACTGATGTGGGAGCCGAACGGAAAGGCGAGGACGGCGATGTGTCGGATTGGCTCGGTGTTAGGGTTTTCGGGCGCCATTGTTGGTGCTGTTTGGAAATGGTGAGCTTGATTGATTGTGGTCTAAAAGTTTTGTCGTAAACGGATGGAGAAAGCTAAATTCTCTTGAATGGATTAGTGATTTTGTATGTTCGGTTGGCGAGAAATATAAAGAGAAAATTGATCAAGAATTGAATAATGGAAGGACGTCCTAAAGATTTTTAACAAAATGAGGGAAGGGTGTCGTTAAGAATCTGATGATTATGTCTCTTCCTCTCTTTCTACACACACATATATAAGCCGCCCACTACAAGCCGTCACTATAAGCCGTCCACTATTCCATAATTACTTAATTACTATATACATGTAAGCCGCCACTATTAGCCGCCCACGACTTGATAATTGCTTAACTATATATATATATATATATATATATGTATAACTGTTAAATATAGAAATTGAATGCTGTGGTCGGATAAAATTTTAATTTTATTAATTATTGTTAATATTTTTGATTAATTATTTAATTTATTATAACTATTGGATTAATATCTTATAATTAAAATAATAATGCTCATTAATAAATAAAGTAACTATTAAAACCACAACCCCACTCCTTATATGTATATACTCATATATATGTCGGTACTATCTCTCAAAGAACAGCACTACATATATAACAACCCCTAGTTTTAAGGTATTTTTTTTTAGAAATGCTAACACAACTCTTTCTATCACGTTCTGCTTCACTGTTTAACACGTAGATTGCATTAACATAGTAAACTATTATTTAAATAAAAAATAAAATAATAGAGTCCACATGTCAACGAGTAAATACTGAAAGTGACAAAACAAATGACAGAAAGTGTGATGCAATCACTTCTCTCTTTTTTTTTCTTTAACAGAATTCCATATTTTATGGTTTATGTCACGGTTCACGCACCCATTTATTTTACTTTGTGTTTTTTGATTTGGCGGAACAAAAGAAAACACGATAAAAGGAGAAACTTACGTCAAAGGAAGCTTTAATGTTATGTTTCCATGGTGGTTATTCAATCAAACATAAAAATGTAATGATGTGTCGTGATAAGAATTTAATTTTATTAATTGTCTTTAAACTTTAGTGATCAATTGCCTAATTTATTACAACCGTTCATCCGTCAATTAATATCTTAAGTTAATTAAACCAATGATACTCATCGATGAGAAAATATAAAGGTAACCATTAAAATTACATATTTAAATGTCTACATTTATGTAATAGTTACTTATAAAATATAGAATTTTAATGAAATTTCATTATAATTAATTGTTGTTAATCTTTTTTTACCTATTTAATTTATTAAAATTGTTGAATCAATATCTTATAATTAAAATAATAATGTATATTAATAAATAAATATTAAGATAAACACTAAAACCCACACCCATACATGCATACATATATAGATCATATTCAAAGTTAGGCGAGATCAGAAAATGGCAATATACGTAAAGCAGATGGTGGCAACACTTCTAGCATGCACCCATTATGGAATAATTTTCTAAGGAAGTTATTCACGTCAGGGCACATGCACCAATAAAAAATGGCGGCCCGTACTCAATGCATTCTTCATTGAAATATGGCGGTGCTTGTCATGCTATTTTATTTTCAGTCTCCTTATCCTTAGTGCTAGTGTATTTCAAGTCGTGTACGTTTTATTTAGTTCATGAACTTATCTAACTACCTGTACAGCATATCGAAGAGAGAATTGTTAAAATATTTATATGACTAGTATAATGACAGACACTCATATATTAATGTCAAATAATATATTAGAGCATGTTATATATGGATAATAAATTCATATATTATTTTGCATGGTATTATTTAAGCTATAGTGGGATGTTCTTATTTTTCATATAGTTTGAGGCTTTTAGATTTACTTGCTCAAAATGTTTCAGTAAGCTTATTAGATTGAATAACTCTCGCCTTTGAGGGCTTAGCCTAAAATAGGCTTAGGATAATTTTAATGCCCTATAAATAAATCATCTTTCTGACAAAAAAAATTATCCTATCTCATATTAATATGTGTGTATAGAGAGGAGAGATAAGGTTAAATTCATCATCCTCTACATACACTGTCACTTCTGTTTGGATCTAACCTTTTTTTGCAGATTGCTAGAAATTTGATCACATGATAGGGACTAATTCAAATACCATGGGACGTATGGTTTTAATATTTACTCATACTACAATTAGAAAGATAGATTAATGATCTTGGGGGATATTATTCTTGATAATGTTGAGTTTGTTATTATCGTTATTTTCAACAATTGGTATCAGAGACTTTTATCTTTCTATTGTGGTTGTGTAAATTCGTTTTATATTACAAATTACAAGTATTTTTCAGTTTAAAGAAAAAAAACATTTTTGCTTCCGCGTTTGTTTTTGGACCGAATAATGTTTGGTTTAATGTTTTGTTGTTGCATATCTCTTGTGGTATAATATCCTTCTTTAAAGTCAATATTGTTTTCGGCCGAACAATGTTTGCTTCTGCATCTGTTGTTGTATGTGTATGTATTTTCGTTAGAATTAATATATATATATATATACACACGCACACACATATGTAAAGAGACATCAAATAGATATGATGTACAAATTTCTTTAGTTGTTCTGTAAACTCTATTATTAGGACCATATGAAGGTTTCAGATGATTGTGTATGTTACACGCGTTTTCTAAAAACATAGTTCATTTTACGTTTTTCAATCTTGCATTTTTTTTTGTTTATTATTATTAAATTAAAAAAAGGTATATCACTTGCCATTTATGAAAGATGTGTGCAAGCGTCGTTTTTGGCAACACAATTAATTATATATATAAATATATAATGTATATATTATACTATTTAGTGCTTTTATTTGTTTTTTAAGTCAAAAGGCCTACTAGTGGTCTTTATTACAGTTGGTACAGCTATAAATTTTATATAATCATATTATTTAAAGTCTTTTATTATTTTCAAAGTCAAAAGGCACAGCTTTTTAGATATTAAATGTAATGCCAGCATTTATTTAAAAAAAAAAAAAAAGAAGGAAAACTTTTGTTAATTACAACCGGTTATTGTTTTGGAAAAGTGATATAGTGAATAGTGTTAGAATTTTAGGCTGGCAGCTCTGTCCAAAGCTTGAATTTTTTAGGTTCGGTGGGCAGGCCTATTAGGCAACCGGTCCAAGTTTTTGGGCTCGGGCTCAGGCTGTCCGAGAATGGTCAGAATTGCCAAAGCCCACTGTCAGAAGAAAGCCTCTGACCGTTGACTGCCAAATTTTTTTTTTTTTTTTTTTCCCTCCGGCCTGAATTGCCTAAATGCCCGAAGACTAAAGACCGAAGGCCGATCAACGGCTAATTTTTTTACCATTGGCACCCGACCCGACTCGCCGCACGATAAGCCCGACTTCAATGACTCTTTTTTTGATCGATGCCCGATTTTCAGCCTGACCCCACCGACCTGCCCCGCCGAGACCAAAAATGACCGTTGGATCCGAATTTGGGAGAAAAAATCAATTTTTTAACCCAAAAATTTCCTTATAAATACCCCTATCCCGCACACATTTTTCTCACCCAAACTTATATAATGCCTCAACAATGCATCCCCTATAAAGATGCTATAACAAACTATATCAGTGCAAAATTAAGAGTAGAACATATAGACCTATATGATTGGTAAATTGCCGAAACTTTGTATCAATTTTTAAGTAGGTTTTAGGAAGTTACTTTAAAACTTAGTGGAACATATTACCCAAGATCACCATTAGCTTTAGGTGAACTTTTAAGAATTAGTATTTTATTTAGTGAATTTAGGGTGGACCTAATCTTAGGAGTTCCTATTTTTTCTAAAAAATTTAAAAAATATCAGTCTAAATTACCAATGTTGTATGGTTTCGATACTGTTTTTAATCCTAGATTAAAATTAGACGGTATAGAAAACTTAGGTGAATCTTTAGGTATCAATTGTTCTGATCAATTTATGACAATAAAGGCAAAAATATTTTCTCTCTATAATAAATATGAGAACAAGTTTAGAAACACAAACTCTAAAGTACAGGAACCGCAGCAAAGAGATGAAAACCCGAATTCATTCATGAATATTTTCGGGTTTAAGAAGAAGAAGAAGACGACCCAAACAAAAGCTAGAAGTAGATCTTCATCAACAAGTGGTGGCAGCAACAACAGCGGCTTCAACGAGCTTTTGGCGTACCTCAGTGAGAGCTTAGTAGTCGACGGTAGTGGAGATTTGTTTAATTTAGTTCAATAGTGGAGGGCAAGAGCAATAACTTAGCCAGTCCTAACTCGATTGACAATGGATATTTTTTTCGATCCCAGTCTCCACTGTTTAATCCAAACAAGCCTTCAGTATGATCGGACGAATACTTGAGGAACGCCGAAACGCATTGCAAAGGGACATTGTTGAAGCCTTGGTCTGCATTAAGGATTAGGATCGTGCTTATCAATATTTACAGGATACAATTTCATCGGCAAGTCAAGAATTGATCAATGAATTTAATCGATTAACATTAAATTTTGAAAACGATCCTTCAACTTCAAATTAAATTGTAATTTGTAAATAAGTATTTACTTTTGACATTATAATTGTATATTTAGACTTTGTAAGTTAGTAAAATTTGAAATTCGTCACAAAATGATTGCAGTCTTTTTTCCTTACCAAGTTTTTATCACAATTGAGTTTTTCTTAGTAAGATTTTTAACGAGGCAATCATGAATTACAAATTTAAAAATTAATATACAAAATTAATATATTAAATTGTGTTCATAATGTTGATTTTAGTTTTTATATAATTTTAACACATAATAACTTAATAATTATTTATATACAAATACAATTACTAAATAATAATATATTATATAATATATATATACAATATTATAAAAATTAAAAAATATAATAAAAAATATTTTTTTAGGCCATTCGGGCGGGCTTGGGCAACCAAAACCAGACCCGTGGCCCGTCCATGGGCCTTTTTGGGCTCGGGCGGACGGCCTAAAAATTTCGGGCAAGCGGGTTCGAGCGTCGCACTCAAAATTAATTTTTTCGGGCGATCGCGGGTGACCCGTCTAAAGTTCCAGGACTAATAGTGAAGCAGTTGTGATTCAATTTTAATACTTAATATACATTATTATTATTATTATTGTTGTTGTTATTATTATTACTATTTTATGGTTTTTTATTTTCACAATTTCTTGGACCAAA